CAGGTGAGTTGCGCTGACTTGAGATATCAGTCTATCTCCCAGAGTTATGTCACATTGAGCAAAAATGGAATTCAGAGGATGATTGATGAGGGAGTGTCCCGAGCCAGGTCTGAAGTATTGTTCAAGTCCAAATCTACAGGAATACAATATTCTATAGGACTCTGTCAGTAATGGCAGCTATAGGTAAAAATTTCTGTGTAACACTTTTCTGTTGCACAGAGATATATCCTGGACATCTGGACGGAGATCCTTCCTTTAGGCTTGATTTTTTCAACAAGTTTTCTCTTTCTGGATACTGCGTTTTTTTAGACACCCTTACACGTTGCTCCAGCGGGTGTTTCGTCACTCTCCGGGCTGAAATCATGATACCAGAGTCTTCTTGACCCTCCGACCCTCTGTCTTGGGTACAGATTATTTTACTTGTGGCTCAGCACCATGAAAGGCAGGAGACTTCCTCCTGCTTGATCTCAAAGACGCCTGCATTATGGCTGTCACGGAGGAGGCAAAGCTTCTGCAGTTTCACAATCGGTGGCTAAAAGCGGATGTATTGTCCACCTGCCTGAAATTCAAAGCTTTTGTGACTTGTACTAGAGTTTAAAAAAAAAATCAGAATCAGTTTTCCTAAAAACGACCTCCAGTTGTGTCTTGAGCTAAAGCAGGTCGGTGTACCAACCCCCTCTAAACCTTTAACGTTAGACTTCAGATGCATCTTCATTCACAGGCTCAGAGGGTTTGTCAGGCTCTCTATTTAAAGAAGCCTGTCTCTGGAGTTATTGTTATCTTATGTTGTCTGTGTATGTGATGCCATGCTTCCAACAGGTTCACTGTCATAATCCTTCAGTTTGTACACAGGCGGAAGACGAGGTACAAGGTTCATTCAGCTCATCTGTATAACTGTTTGTAAATGCTGGCTGGACAGCTTCAGCAGGGCCAGCCCTATAATCTTGAATGTTGCTGACTGACTGACTGACTGACTGACTGACTGACTGACTGACTTACTGACCGACTGACTGACCAATCATATTTCCACCACAGGAAAATTTGAGAGGTGTGGAAGGGAGCTGTGATGGAACAGTGGCTTAATCCTTGCTGCGTTGTCTTTGAGGATTTACAACCAGACATTGACTGGGATGTTCAACATGGCCTGAAACACCCCGCATGTCGAATTAATACAGAATTAATTGATGACAAACTCTCCATCGCGGCCATTTTCAGCATTGACTCGACAGCTCACTCGATAAAATCAGCTACCATAGGGGCAGATCCTAGTCTTCCATAAAACTCTGTCTTTTCTGCGTCAGACCCATCCTGCTCTATGCTGACCAATTCGCGAGGGAGGGCAGTGATGTCGTCACTGGAAAAAACTGTCATCTTAATTTGTCACGGTCTTGATTTAATGAGAGTCGGCCCATTTAACTCTCTCAAATTCATGCTGATAACCAGTGCTCCCCTCAGGATTGTGTCATGGGACCTGTGTTAGCTGAATCTTATCAGATTTAGATATACTTCCTGGTTACAATCCACTGCTGAATAGAGGGCCAATACTGACGCGTATATCTGTTTAATTTGGCACAGCAGTTTGAGTTCCTCCATTTTTTGTGGAGAAAGAAGCCGACTCATGGGACAGGACAGACAAAGCTGTGTGTCAAGTGAAGTAGTACCGTTAGATACTGAGAGGGAAGAGTGTGCTCATGACTAAAGGAAATCTCTCCCAAGAGACAGAATTCAACCAATATTGAAATGTTATATTCAGACAGAGAAGAAAAGATCCCTGAGCATATACCTTCTACTACTTAGTATTCAATATTACAAACACTGAATTAAATGTGTTTGTGTTCATATTTCCAATCTGGAGTCAAAGCAGAGATCTCTCCAAGGTTAGAAAGCAATTTTTCATTGAATGTATTTAGAGCAGATCTATATCACTTTCTAATGGATATAGCTGAACAGTTCACTCTCTTTAAGTAATGAATGAGCAACGACAACTGTCACTATGCTGCACAAATATAAAATTAGTATTATGACTTCAGACAGGGCTGTTTATGTAGAGCTGCGATGATAGATCTACTAGTTTCCCAGCATGCTGAGTTCAGGAGAATTTCACATCACAATCTCAAACTGTGTCCAAGCAAATTCTGCTTATGTCAGCTTTATAACAGCACGACTATCAATCTTCAGTCATTTCATTCTGGCCCTAAATGAACCAAGTGAAAAGATATTTACAGGATGGTAAAGCTGTGTTGTATTTACATTGCTAATCTATCTGTTAGAGAGAGGCATGCAGAACTTTGTGTCACAAAAGTGATGGACCTTTGACCTTTGTCCCACCCCTAACACTGCCCCAACCAAAGAAAGGGTGGAGTTAGTCAGAACCAATGAGAGAGGAGAGGGTGGAGCTAGTCTGAAGCAATGAGAGAGGACAGAGTGCCGTTAGTCTGAACCAATGAGAGCTGAAGTTGGAGTTAGCCTGAACCAATGAGATGAGAAGTTGGAGTTAGCCTGAACCAATGAGATGAGGAGTTGGAGTTAGCCTGAACCAATGAGAGGAGAGGTTGACGTTAGCCTAAACCAATGACAAAGGAGTGGGTGGAGTAAGCCTAAGCCAATGAGGGAGGAGAGGGTGGAGCTAGTCTGAAGCAATGGGAGAGGAGAGGGTGGAGCTAGCCTGAACCAGTGAGAGATGAGAGGGGGAAGTTAGCCTGAACGGAGAGGGTGGAATTTGCCATAATTAATAAGTCTGAAAGTTTTAGTTTGAAGCATTGAAAAGGTCTGTTTTGAAAGCGTGTTTTCTTTTCCAAACAGTTTCTTCCCAGAATGCTCTGTGTAATAAACCGTATGCCGTGTCAGGTTATGGCGTAGACTGTGGTCATACAGTTATTTTCTTGAGGCAGTACATACCACAGTATCATCTCAACTCTTATCAAACTTGCAGTGGAAAAGAAGAGTTTGGTTTGGCCAGCACTAATGTGGATGAAAATCCCTTGTATTTGGCTTGGGATGATGGCCTGCAGCTGTATGTAGCAAATCATCAATCTTCTTTACTGCCACAACACTGCCACACAGAGAGGGAGGGAAGGATGTAAACATGGGAAGAGGAATGGTTTTATAGGAAAGGATATACAGCCTCTTTCTCTTCCTCCTGCTCCCACTCTAATTGCAGGATCACTCAATCTTCTGTAGCCAGACTACCACACACATTCATGCACACTTTAAGGATGGACAGCAGCTCATGTCCACAGACAATGGATGGCTGCAGACTAGTGAATGGAGGCACATCTGTGAAGTGAAGAGAAACATCCACTACATTTCTTTTTATGTGCACCTACTCTCTTTCACGCTTTCTGCTCTTTCCCTTTTTCCTGCTTTCACGTATTCTTTCAGAGCATGTCAAAAGCTCCAGTTCTGCAGCATGACCAGCCAATCCTCCATGGTAAAAAAAAAAATAACTCCTCAATTCTCTGTCAAGTAAACTGAGAGGTGTCACACAGCGTCATTCAGGGAACGTTTTGAATTTTTAGTGCCTTCCAAAGTCTGCTTTTTTTAAATCAACCCATAAATTGGATGTTTTATTTTTTCCCCAAATAGGACAAAATGTGATAATGTGAGGGAAAGTGAAAGCCATATTCAGCTTAACTATATTGTTTACAGGTAGGAAACACTGGCTTCTCCTCTTCTTCCCTCAGGCAAGTTGCAAAATAGCACAGAATGAGAGTGGCCTGCTTGTTGAGGCAGAAAGCTGACCTGAAAGCACACGGCACAGATTCAGCCGGGCTGCTAAAGCATTTTTGGAGGCCTGTCATGGCGATGAAGTCAGCTGCTTGACTGAGGCCGTAAGGCAGGTAGCAGATGTTAGCAACACTAACAGGTTTGGCAGTGTAATAGCTAGCAGGTGGCAGGAATACTAATAGGTTCATCAAGACACTGGTGGCAGATGTTAACAGCTGACATGATGCCAGAAAATCTTCATGTCAACATCTCATTTAATCCATGACTAAGATTTAAATTTTGTTCATATTTCAGGATGTTCTACCATAATTCAAATGCCCTTATACTGCTGACAACCTTTTGTGTTTTAGATATTCTTGAAAGAAAAATCAATCAGTGATGAGACCATTTCATTCCTTTTCAGTGCATATCAGACAATCAGAGTAAAGCTACTGGATGGATGTTGGTAGTCTCCTGAGTTTTCATCTAGCACATTGCAGATGAGTCCCCTGATCAGAATTTAAAGGTGTCCAATAATTGATTTATCTCTACATACCCGTAAATTTTACAATATTCCAGCTGTACTGATGTTTGTACTTAGCATGCTAACATGCCAATATCTTCAATATACTACGCTGTATATTACTGAAACGGCTAAACATCAGCATGTTAACATTTTCATTATGAGCTTCAACATATAGCACCTTACAGCCTCACACATACTTTCTGTCACCTGACAGGACTGATACGGTTCTGTTTCAATCAGGCTGCTGCTCTGCTAACATGCTAGTCCTGCTACCCTCCTGTGTGGATACAGTGTTATCCTTGTTAAGATTTGAAGGCTTTATTTAACTATGACTTAGGAACAGATCTGACCAGAATTAGAGGAATAAACACACACACACACACACACACACACGCGCACACACACACAAACACACACACACACATATTTCTTTGAAGGAATAACACCGTACTTTTTCCTAAATGTAATAAAATACAAGATAAATAAACAAATTAGTAGAGCATTCTACAGTGTTGCAAGTCTTCTGAAAGCACTAATCAGAATTAGCCTGCACACTAGCCATATTTTAGCTGATGTAGGAATGCACTCCTCAAATACAGCCCAGTCATGGAGTATAAAGCTTGAGTGACACCAAGAATCAATTGTTCTTTTGAATATCTTCAGGCAATGCCACAGTTTTGAAGATTTCAATTCTCATTAAACTGGAAACGTTGTGCAGGTTTTGTGGTGTGATGCAGCCATGCTATCAGGACAGGTTAAGTCAGGGTACCTTCAGTGCACCAGCGTCTGCAGCAGATCCAGGGTCCACTCCAGTGATGTAGATCCCCAGCCCATACTCAGCACCACCCCTGATCATTAGGCCCAGAGAGCGGCCATCATCCATATTCAGGTTTACCTGCACGGAAGAAAGACATTCAGATCTCTCAGCTTTGTGAATAAACCAAACTCTTTAATGAAAAGATGATGTCATGATCTGCCCTGGAAGGAGTCTCTCTCTCTGGAATTTATGTTTGATGTTTGTTCCTGTTTTATTAACTTGTGTGCACTGTGTTCCCTCTGTCTTTCCTTGAGTCCTCATCAGTTCGTCTGTTGACTTTCCCTGGACTCTCCTCGTGTGTCTGTTCCCTTTTCCCTGGTGTTTCCATGTGCTTCAGTTTCTGTTTTGCTTGTCTTTTGGACTCTTTTAGTGAACAGCCTCACTGTTATGGACCCCTGCCTTCCTCATCTACCTGTAAGTATGTTTAATAAGTCATTTGAACAGTATCAGCTCAGTGTCTGCATCTGCATTTGACAAATCATGTCTCAGTGTGGTGATTTAGCAGGGTGTGTCAATCACAATCAATGCATTTTGTCGTCACTACTACTGTGTTTTGTATATGCATGTCAAAGATATCAAAAGTATTGATGTTTTTAGCATGGATGCCTTTCAAAACTGGCTTATAGATACATTTTTGATCAGTTTCACTTTGACACGAATCCCTTCAAATCCTTCAGCAATAGCAGTTTTTAAACAAGATTTGGACTAACCCATAGTGTATGTCCGGACCTAGTCATGGACCGCCTCTGGTCAAATCCTGATTTTATAACATTGTCTGACAAAATCACCAAACACATAAATGAAAGACAAAGACTGATCTGTGATTTCAGCTGGATTTACTGTAACATGATCAGAGAGAAAGTCAGAGGAGACAGACTGTCTTTCTTTTTTAAATTATTGTTTTAGGCTTTTGCCTTTAATACAGTCAGAGAGAGAGAGAGAGAGAGAAAGAGAGAGAGAGAGAGAGAGAGAGAGAGAGAGAGAGAGAGAGAGAGAGATAAGATGTCACTCAGCAAAGGACCACAGGCTGGACTCAAACCCATGCTGCCACAGGTTAAGGATTAAAAGTGCCATTGACACGTGCTCCGCCAGGTGAGCTACTAAGGCACCCACCCGAGACAGACTATCTCTCTTATTTAGTGTCTCACACAGAGCACAGCCTCCATCTAGCTCCACAACAGTTTAGTCTTTATTTACTTCAATTCCACAACGTAACAGACTTTTATTAGGCAGGTTTTTATGTCTAACTCCCTTTGTTTGATATGTAGAGCTGATTCTCTCTCTCTCTCCCTCTCTCCTGCTCTCTCTGCTCGGTGTGTCTTATGTTTAATTATTCCTCTGCCTCCTTTAGGAATAATGATACATGCAATCAAAGTAGTTTATTTGCTGTAATAGAGGCGAGGCTCAGTGTATTGGGAGCACTCCTCCTCTTCCCTGCAGTTCCCTACAGCAGCTCTGTAGACTGTGGCTTAGCACTCCACTGACCAGTGGTGGAAAAATGATCAGTCAGTCAGTCAGTCAGTCAGTCAGTCAGTCAGTCAGACAGTCAGTCAGACGGCAACAATCGTGATTATAGGGCTGCCCCTGCTGCCAAAAATGGTCATGATGCAAATATTCAAGTGTAGTGGCGATGGCTGACTCTGTGTGACTCTATGTTCACTGCAATGGTAGCTGCTAATCTGTGTGAACCAAAAACAGAGATTTAGCTATATAACATCCTTATATACAAGATGACCTGCTGCTTGGTTTGTCTAGTGTTCCTTCTGCAGTGTGCATAACTGCAGTAGCTTATCAGTGCATGCTGAAAACTCAGTACCTTTGCTGCTCTTATTAGTCATTACTATATGATAACATACTTTTGTAGCAGCAGAATGGATCTTTGCTGCTCAACAGTGCACTTCATGTGGTTGATGCTGCTGTACAACATCTAAACTTGTATCTGCTCACCTCCACATATTTCCTCATCCCATTTAAGTGAGTCTCTCATTTAAAATATTCATGTATTACTACTGTATATAGTAATATACTGTCTGCAGGATGTCAAGCGCATGCTCAGAGGGTTATCACCAATTCTGTTTGATTCTTATGGACAGAACCTTCAAACACAGCCTGGGGGCAGTTAGAGTCTGGTCCAGCTGACATGAAAATATAGGTTGCAGGTGATGTGGTTCTGATCGATGAACCTTAATGCTAAGTTAAGTACTCAAAGTTGCTCACCAGTGAGAGGAAGCTGGAATGCAAGATCGTCAGGTGGACAGGTGGGAGAGGGAGTTGAGTCTGAAGGTGAAGCTCCCAATTTACCTACGGATCTATGTTCCACCTATCTCAAGACTTGAGTGAGCTTCTTTTTCCACAACTACTATGCAATTGATTACGGTAATAATTTATTATAGCCATTATTTTGCATATTTTATTTAATCATCTCTTGTGGAGATTCTGCAACTGATAATACAGGAGGACTTTTGTTTTTATAGGAGAGCCACTCTGGAGTGTTATCTTCCATCACTGAATGGTCAGAGTGCTGAGTGCACTGCCTGTTATGGGAAGGGGAAGATTTTGATTGGCCACCACCACACCGCCGTCTCCACCTGCTCCAATGTAGTTTTCATCACAGGAGCAAAGCTTCTGCCTCAAAGGATCAAAACTTACATACAACCACACTGTGCATCGCTGATCATGAGCCACTGAATACTGTTCATGCTTTTAATGAATGCTTTTAGGAAAATTCACTTTTCAATATGTTTTGAGAAATAATACACACTAATATAGTGTGTGGTTTAGGTTAAGAGGATAGTTGACTAAGGACAATGACATGTGGACCTGCAGACTGTGTCATTATAAGGACAGATTGAACAATACTTTTCTGATATAATATGCATTCACAGTCCATCTCTTAAAAACCGTCAGTGTTTGTTTCTTTTAAGCATGATCTTCCTCCCTCACCCTGATCTTCATCCTTCACCCTGATCTTCCCCTATAAGGTAGTTATACTCACCTAAACCACACATAGTGGTAACAGATCATAAAAGTGCTGAGGTGAGCAATCAAGTATTGTTTGTAATGGTTTTTGAAGACATTGACTGACAATGTTGTCCTGTCTGTTTAGAAAGAGACTTGTTTCTCTACTAATGTTCACAGGAAAATGAATGAAAAAAGCTTGTCTTGATTCTTAATTCAATACTTGTGACATTAACCTGCTGCATTAATCAATTTTCTACCACTTGAGACCAGCACAACATCTGACATATTATCGCCTCAGTTAGAAAAGAGTTGACTATCTACACATGCAGCAGGTACACAGCTACACTAGCATTCATTTGGACTTGTTTTTTCTCTCCACTTTTAGCTCTGGTTTTGTCTCCAACAACTCCTGAGAGAAATATGTAACTCCTATACGTTCCCAAGCTAGTCGCTAACTTTACCTGTCTGCTGGTCAGTGATGGACAGGAAGTGTATGCTGGATTTTGTGGGCCATAAAACCAATGAGGCTCGAAAAGTTAGCGCTTAACAGAGCTGAGGGGAAATGTGGACTTGGTGAGAATTCTCTGTGACTTTGTCCCATCACGTTACACATAGTCATTTGATAATAGAGAAAATATTGATCAGTGTGGCTTTATATAATAGACAGTCTTTCCATTCACAATGTGTCATTTGTTGCACAGGCTAAAATTAAACAAAGCCACTGTTGAAATTCTGTTTTGGATAGTTGTTCAATGCGCTGTAACTATCACAAAGTGATTCTGATGGTAACTGGAACAATTGTGAAAATCTAGATTCACTCAAAAAGTGTCCTTACAGATGAGATGAAGGGCTAGTGCTACATTTCTCATACAAGAGAACAGTTCTAATAGACCCGAGTAATAAAATAAGAGCTGGCATATTGTATTTCAACAGACATATCTGGCACCTCACTGAAAAAGATTAATATCTTCTCCATATAAGAAGCCAAAAAATCATTTATATTGCATATGGCAGTGACAGCTTCTCAGACCTCTGTCCAAAAACTCCACTTCTCCCCTCAACCTTTAATTAGCTCTTCTCCAGGTCATCCAAGCTCATCTGAATAGAAGCAAATATAAGCAGTTTTCTGAAGTATCCTGCTGTACCAACATTTAATATAACAGGTGTAAATCAGCTCCTGAGCAGCTTTTAGAGGGATGATTTATCTGCATAGTTGCATTCTTAGGCACTCCCACCACATGCTTAGGCAGCAGTTTTAGCATAGTCCTGATTGCTACCAAATTGTCAGTGCATCATTATTGGATCAGGCTTACCAAAAGCTGTATAAAGCTTGGTGATAACTTATTTGGTTTTCAAGATATTGATCAATGAACTTCAAAAGGGCGCGGCTCAACACATAAATAAACCAAAATGGGGGCACTATACAAATGCAAAAAAAAAGGGCCTGACAGAACACAAATCAGACTGTAAATGAGAAAATGTTTGTCCAATCCTTACAAAACTCACAGGAGATGTTTCATTATAATGTTAATCAAATCAAATGTACAAAACTATTTTGAAATTGCTCAATAAGAGGAACCATCAGCTCCAAACCAAGCCTCACCCTCTGAGGCTGAAAAATGAAGCCAACAATGAAGTGCTGAAACCTGCAGTTCCTCTAATGATCACTAGAGTCTGCCTCCAACAGTGAGTCAATCTCCACAGTTTTGGTCTCTAGAGCTAATTTCCTCCTTCATGACAACTGTTTATATAACTCACCTGTTTACTTTTTATTAAGGCTTCAAGTTATGTATAATTGAGGGTGTGGCCTCTTTGAGTGACAGGTGGATGAGTGTATGTTTCCCACAAACCAGCATTCACCGAAGTCTCAGCTCTTTGTCCATTTTTTAATTAGCCGGGAGTTAGGTGGAGTCAGACACTGCCAAGACGACGACGAAGACGGAGTATCTCACTCATTGATTCAAATGAGTTTGTCTAATCATCACAAAACTTGGGGGGTACCACAAATCATTTCTATGTGTCTTTACAATATTTTTATGGGGCTTTTATTTTGGAACTGGGCTTTTTTGAGAATGGTGGCCTCTGTCCTAACGGCCTTGCTTACTCAAACATAAAGTGCATAGATTTGTGGAATTTAAAACACAGCAGTAAGATTAATTCTTACTTATTCAGTGTGTTGCTACGTAGGCCTAACATTGGTAGACTAATGAATGGATATATATGCATATAATGAATGAGTAAGTTATAATGGAAACAATGTAATTGGATGGATGTGGGGACAGTGTAAAATGTACTGCGAGTATCACAACGTAATTTACTATATTGTCATTTGCCTCTCATTTATATTGAGAGGTAAATTTTGTCACAACAGGGTTTCGTACGTATAGACTTTACTTGGACGGGCGGCCCAGGTATACTTTGACATTTCCTTTCCATGTTTTTTAATTGGTAAGAACTACGCCATCCACAATCGGTTAACTATTCTCTACGTTTCGTTCTGCTAACGCGCAAAGACAGAACTAACAGAAAGAGAGAAAGAGGGAAAGAGGGGGACACGTGGTGTTATGTTAGATGTGGATATTGAACACTCAAGTCAGTTCTTAATACCAGTCGATGGTCGGTGAAGCTGCTGGCATAGGTAATGAGACAGCTGAAGCAGAGGCAGCAGGTCCCAGTGTGGTAAAAGGAATATGTCACTGAGGAATATTAAATAAATGCAAATGTTGTGTCAACATTCACCCCCCGCCCCCACCACCACCACCACAAGTATATTTCAGATCTGTGGGAATCGATGCACAATGAACAATATGGAGACAAGTGTTGACAGTAATATGCAACAAATGACTATTTCAGTTTCAGTAATAAGCACCAAAGGGTCAGAACCCAAAAACTGCTGTACTGTGGCTGTGTTTATTATCTGTCTTCTGCCGTGGCTCAAACTGCTGTGAGCTGGAATGAGCTACAAACATGAAACTTGGCCCAATAACTGGAAATGATGTGCATGTGCTTCCCAAGAAATATGAGCCCAATCAACCACATGGTGGTGCTATAACTGAGGTTCAAAAATGCAATTTTGGAAAGGCCAGTCCCTCAACCATGTGTCTGATTGACAGTCAAGCTCAATGTGCTCTACAAAAAAGCCTGAACCATATTGATATCCACATTGGATTTTTTGCTAATTTGCTTCCATTGCTCAATTTTCTGTGAGCTGGAGCGAGCCAGCAGCATGAAAATAGGCACCATAATTAGAAATTATGTGCAATTGCTTAGTGGCCTCATGACATTAAAGGCCACCAGGATGGATATGGGGTTATTTTCGTGCCTCATTCCTGAGCAGGCAGTGGGACTTTCTGAGCACAGACAAATACATATTGCAAACACACAAATTATATATTGAAGAGAAAATATTTTTGAGCAAAGAATAATTTCCCAGAGCAAACAAAAATCTATTCTGTGCTCCATAAATGTATTTCTCCGTTTGCTATTATCCACATAGTGGCACGATAATCATGTCTGTCACTCAGTTTTAGTCAGCTGTCCTCTCACAGATCTCTGCTTTGTGCTCACTCAACATGGTGCAGCGTTACAATGTGCCACAATACCAGCCAATCAAAGACTTGGAGGAAGTAATCAAAACAGTGATCTAGCAAAACCAGTTGTTGAGATGGAAATTCTAAAAATCATTCAGAAAGATAAAACTGGAAGAAGTCTGGGAAGTGATGGATTTACTAATGAATTCTATATGGAGTTCAGATACATTACTTAGTCTCTCCCATCTTGTGAGGTTTTACAAACACAACAATGGCCAGAAACATGGAATGCAGCAATCAATCACCGTTATACCTAAACAAGGAAAAGACCCCCAAAAATGTTCATCATACAGACCAATATCCCTCTTAAATGTAAAGTTATTTACATCAATAACAGCAAATAGACTCTCACATATACTTCCAAAAATAATTAACTTAGACCAAACAGGCTTTGTCAAGGGCCGTCTTTTAAGTGATAATGTGCATCACACTCTTAATGTCATTGCTTTTGCAACAAAATGAAGCAACTATCAACTGTTGATATTGACGTTAGACGGCAAAAAAGCCTTTGACTGGGTGTCATGGCCCTTTATATTCGGAGTCTGTGAGAAATTTGGATTCCATCAAACCTTTTTCAAACTAATAAAATGAATGTATAATAAACCAAATGCAAGAGTAAGAGTAAATGGTACGCTTTCTAAAACCTTCACTTTAAAAAGGGGAACAAAACAAGGAGATCCATTATCGAAACAAATATTCACCTTATGTATAGAACCCTTAGCTGATAGTATAAGAAAAAACAGGGGAATAAAAAGTCTAACAATAAAAGATGAAAAACATTATACACAGATGATATCATATTGTATCTTACAGATATATATAACTCTCTACCTGTGTTACTAGATGGAATTACAAACTATGGTGGACTCTCTGGCTATAAGCTAAACTATACATATACATATACATACTGTATATGCACACATAAACCTACACACATACATACATAAATAATTTGTTTGTTTTATGTCACCATTTCATGTTAAATACTTAAATAATCTTCTCACCCTCTACAGAGGTGTTTACAGGTGCATTTGTGTACGTATGTGTATAGGTGTGCATGTTTGTATTTGTATATGGGTACCTGATAGTATAGATAGATAGAACATGGAGATACACAGCATGATCAGTAACAACTATACTGTCGCTTACCCTATTGTGTTATGTATTCACTGTGTTATGGATTGGAGTGGGAAAAAAAGTTTAAATAACAAGAAATCTATAATGTTTCATTGACATTAACTAAAGTATATAAAAAACTGCACAGATGGGGATGTCCAGTAGTGTAAATGTGACACAAGTATAGAGGCACTTGAATGTAGTCTCTAACATTTCTGTTGTGTTGTAAAGATTAGCTATTTTTAGCAATTTTATTTTTAGTTATATTTTAACTAAGAGATCAGTTTGTAATGGTTAATGATGAACTATCTCATCAGGAAACATGGTAACAGGTGTATTTTTCAGATCACTGAATTTGAGTAAATCTTCTCTTGAGGGGCAGCCTGTCTCAGGCCTGTGGTGGGTGACTTTGCTGTGGGATGACTCAGTCTTTGAAAACTTCACAACACCAAAGGTCATGATGACAATGTCTTCAGAGAGCCATATTCCAGTCCTGAACTGACTATTGTCAGACATGAGTGGGAGGACAATTACTGAAACCTTGGTATCATCCTGGATAATAAATTGTTTTGAATCTCTTTTGATTTGAATTTCAAAAATCCTGCAGCAGTATCTTTGTTTTCATAGACAAATACTCCCTTATAAAGTCTACACTGCATTTATGTCTCTCTTCTTCTAATGTTTTATTTATGTTGAATTGTACAGTGCATCACACCTTCTACACCTGGACCTTCTTTTTCTACCTTGCCACAACAACACACAGACACAAACCGTTCTTACCGTCCTCTCCTCCATGCCGGGCCCTAGCCTCTGGTTTCCCTCCTGGCTATCGGGCGGTGGAGATACACTCCGGCCCTGAGGGTCCACCCAGCTGTACACATGGTTGGTAATGTAGCCTCCAGGGATGCGACCCATAGAACACACTGACATCGCCAGTTTCTTGCATCCCTTCAGCACCTGCATCAGGAGAAGAGGGTGTGGTTATGGGTACATACAGTAGACCTCATGACCTCATGAAGAGCAACTCAACACCCTCTGAAATCCTGTTACAGATGAACCCCAAATTCAAAGTGTCACCTTACTGCAGTGATGTACAGGTGTATGCCAGAATATCAGTACACCTTGCCGTTACTGTTGGGCATGAGCACACTTCTGTCCACACCCACTACAGCCATCAGTGATGCTGGGTGTGGTCAGAACTATAGAAGGGGGTAGTGACACCACCAAGACAGAAGAAGAACTGGGGGAGTCCGGGCACCTGTTCAGGGTTAGAACAGCGATAATTGCTCAGCAGATAACTGCATGTTTCAGGGAAAATCTTTCAAATGTGGATACAAGTTCTAAACTTGGCACAAATCCTCCCTTGGATATTACTCTTTTGATAAAAACACATTAGCCACTCAGAAATTCAAGATGGCCGCCATACCCAACATAGCTGACATTTCTGGCAACAAATGTTATTTTTTGCAATAAATTCACCCACAATTTTCCCATATGAATGATCTGAGGTGTCAAATCAAACATTTTAACAAGGTAGAAGGCGAAATTTAGTACACTGTAAAAAATGAAACCAGTGAAAATTTGAACAGTTTGCCTACATTTTACAAACTAAAAGACCTGCTGAATTAGAACAATCGTAGCGTGGGACAGGTCAAAAACCTTGTCAGCATGAAAATAATTTAAATAATTTCAAATATAATAATTAATTGACAATAAGAGTTGTGGATTTGACGTCCTCATCGTCAAAAACATAGGATTCAATTGCAAAATCATTGAAATCTGTCCACAGGGTAAAACTCTGTGTTAAAATATGTGTTTATGTGCTGGAAAAGGTGGCCATGTTGGAAAATGGCAGCCTTTTGAAATTTCAAATGGCTAATGGGATTTTTAATGGCCCCATAGGAATAAACAAACCAATTTTGATTCTCGTATCCACATTCGAAAGATTATTACAGTTATCTGCTGCACTATAATAAACTGAAGGTTACAACCTTAAATTAACACAGTTCTCACAGTTTGAGTACACTGTACACTCCACCCAAGTATGATTGATGTACTCGCATGCAGAGCAGCAACTTCCTGCATGTACATACAGGATATTTGGGTGCTGTTCAGGAGGATATTTTAGTCTGCCTTTCTGCTGCAAACTGGGTCTGGTCTACGCCTTTTCCCTGACTATATCTGTGATGGATGATGCTCTTCCTGCAGCTCTCCCAGATATGTCACCATTACAGTGGCACAACAGCTTTTTGATGGGACATGAAAAGTTCTCCATTTTGTGTGACAGCTCAGTTATTTCTGTTTGGAGAGGTATGAGGACAGATGAAGGAAAGCTGCTGTGACAGGTGATCAGTCTCTAAGACGGAGTAATTATAGATAATTAAACAGTTGGCTTTATGGTCCCAGAGCAGGGTGTCACAGGTCCGACAGAAGACAGTGGCAGTTATTTCTACTCGTTGATGAATGGAAATGGGCTCACTGGCAGAGAAGGTTAGACACGTGTTGTTGTGAAGGTTTTAGGTCTGGGTGTGGAAGACGAATGACTCATACAGTCTTCAGACACCAGGGACTTAATGTGAAATAAGCAAGAACACTGCAATGCAAATTACTCATTAGTTAACACAAATTATATCAACCTCAACCAACCACACAGCTGCTCTCGACTGTTTATATGTGATTAGTATAATTAACAGATGGGTTTAGTTATTCAATCATGTTTACGATGGTTTGATTGCTTTTATGTCCAACCATTTTATGAATCAACTGCGGCAGGGTGGCAGGGTGGAGAGCCAGCCATCATAGAGACATTATGTAATGGCCATGAGTCTACGTCATTTTACACTTCAGATTACAGCTAGAAAAAAATCACACTGTTGTAAATCATCCATAATTTAGCCAGAGTGAACTTTAATAAGGTGCAGCAGCACACGCAACAGAAGCTTAAAGAGCCTGTAAAGCTAATTTGCGGATTTTTTTTTTTATAAACACAATTCAAACCTAACTTGACGGAGGGACACCTCGCCCTCTCGCCGTGTAAGTTGGCGCCCGAGACCCACCACAAGCTGGAGAATTTCGGACTTTGGCATGCAACGTTAAGATTACCAAAACAACCACCTGTAACATCTAGCAACAGCAGCCTATGAACAGCATGCGTAGTGGTTTCATACCTAACCTGTTTGCTTTGGTTAAAACAGACTCAGGCTTCTATGCACAGATACTGAAGCCTGGCGCAAACCAAACACACAGTCACATCTGTCCTCATGTTTTCATGAACAGCAACCTGTTCCTTTGACTTTTAATCAAAGAACCAGACATTTTAAAATACATAATACATAATAACTGTGAACCAGAAAATTTTGGTGTCTATTCAATTATCAGAAATGCTCAAAGTGGCAGTCACACATATCGTGTCCTGTCTGTTTGGAACAGTAAATGTAGACGTTTTCAATAACTGTTGTGTAACAATTGGATCCTCCTGGAAGTTCTCAATCATACTGATAGAGACGTAAATGCTTCAGTGTGCTGTAAACAAACTAGCTCACATGAAGTCACTTCTGTATCACGTCAAAAGGCAAATCCTGTTCCCAAAGGCCCAAACCTGTCTCACCTGTCGCAGATACGGTGAAACTGTACACGTGAGTGAAATCTTCAGAGAGCCACCAAGTCTTCTCTACACAGTACAGTGTCCACATGTAGCAACTGCAGAATTATGAAACTTTTCTATGGTTATGTGTTGTGATTTTGGGACTTCAGGACCGAAACCCAGACAAAACATGGTACAGGTAGATGCTGTGAAGGTGCCTTAATAAAAGAGGATGTCCAAAACTTACAAGCAGACAAGCAGGAAACTAAACTCAGGTGATCCAAACTCAGGTAATCAGGAATGGAACACCGCTCTCCTGTGTCATATTCATCCATCCACCACAACCTCCTCCTGTCGTGGACTTTGTCTCTTTATACTACGTCACCACACTTTTTCCTATGTGCCCGTCATAATTACTGTGACCACTAGATGTTGCCTAGCAACATAGGTTAACTATGAGTCATAATAACCTGCTACACAGACGACCTATATATTATATATTATATATTATACGTATATATATTGTATATTGCATATATTACAGTCTCGTCCAAAGAGTCATTTCAGGGGCAGATCAGGACAGTTATATTTAGGCCCTCACAGCATTTAATTCAGGTTACAAAGATCCTGGTCTGGTTTAATACAAAAACAAGTCCAAAGTGACTTCAGACACAAAGTATTTATTTACGTTTTACCAAAACCCCCATCTTCTCCAACCTTAACCAAAGTGCTTTTCTTGCCTTACAGTTATAATCTGAAATCTGAAATCTTTTCCACATTAAAATGTCTAAAAACAACTAAATCTTTGCTCTATGTGTTCTTGAGTTGAGTTCTTACATTTTCACAAATGTTTCCATCAATTCTCCAACCAGAGAAATCTATGATTTTAATCATGGTAACGTTTCATTGGTCGCCTGTCAATGACATCATATCCTCTATGATCATGTGTCAGTGTGTTTGTCTGACAGAAGTTCAACATTGACTTTTATCTAGTTTTAAGCCACATACACTTTTGACACCTTGGTGGTTTTCAGCTCTGTATTTGAACCAGATGAAGGATTTTAGTCGTCGGACGTCTGGATCTGAAGTTATCAGAGAAACAAGCTGAGGAAATGTTAGACAGCTCAGCTCCCAGCTGCTGGAGACGTCCTGTCCTGTGTCACTGAAGAGCGTCGCTGAATCTCTGAGTTTTAAAGTCAAACTGCTTCATGGGTGTTTCTACTGGTTTTAATCCCCTGGTGTGTTTGTTGTGGAGAGGAGGACACCTCTGTGGATGATTCAGCTGCTGGTAAAAACCTGCTGAACGTCTGGTTCATAAGTTATCAGAGAAACAATCAGAACAAAGGTTAGCATCAATCTCAGCTCCAGCTCTTCCCTGAGTCTCTGTCCTCCGTACAGCGTCGCTCAAACACTGACTTTAAATGTCAAACTGCTTCATTCAGTGTTTTTAACAGTTAGAATCACTGGGTCTGTTTGATTTCCTGAACCACTCACACTGAAGGAATGCAAATCGGGAGGAGCTTACAGTGAAGATGGTGAAGACAACAACTCCCATGAGACCCCTAGAGGTAGAAGTTACAGACTGTGTGTTTAACCGAACCACAGATTCTGGATGTTAACCCCGGTCTCTCTCTCTCACTTTGTACACCCACCATCCACCCCAGCCACTTACTGGTGACTCTGCTGCTGGTAATAAATGTAGCACTCTAATCATTCATTCATTCATTCATTCATTCATTCATTTAAAAACTATGCTGCCTCTGAACAGTGACAGAACTAGTAGCAGAAATTAAAATCCTTTTCTCTGTCTCACCTGCAACTGATAATCAGTGAGTAAAGTGGGTGTGATTGTTGGATTTTTCAGTTTGGAAATGTGTTTCTACAGCATTTTATTTCACTTTAGCAAAGATCTGAGAAGCAGAGTGATAAAGCATTTATTGCTATGGTCATGTCATTATAATCGACAGTACAGTAGCTGTACAGTGAGGTCAGAGAGGTGAAGACCCTCATACCATTTATTAGCCTTTCTGCGATTTTACAATGCAGTGGCAAACACAGCAGGAACAAAATGCTGCTAATTATGTGCTGACTCATTATCAATCATTATATTTTTTATAACCCATTATCAAGTGTTTACTTCAGCTTCTTCATATGTGTCCTCTAAGACAGAGATCTGAAGCGTTGAATTCGATTTCCCATCATTACCTCTGACATCACACAGTAAAGACAAACAAGCCATTAAAGGATGTACCCACCATTACAGTGTCTCCTCTACCCAATTATAGCCCTGATAAAAATGTAAAGTAACAGGCTCCTCAACACACTCAGATAAAAAGAGCGACCCAGATAAACTGGAGGGTTGGCGATGGTAGTC